CTTCTGCGTTAGCGGAGCGGTGGTTGGTGGGGTTCCTTCGGTTTTCACCTTGGTTCCTCACCGGGCGGATCATGGTTCATCTCGTGATCCGCGGTGCCTCCTGAGGAGGCATAGGAGGGGGTTGAGGTATCTCTTCAAAAGGATCTTCCTCTTCGTTTCTGTCGGCAGAGCGCTGGAGGAGCTCTGCCGTTCTGCTGATCCTTCTTCATTCAGCAGCGTCGTCGGCGATCCAGCTTCCGATGACGCCTCAGTAGTAATTAAGTCCTATTACGTGTACGTTTTTAACCTAGCCACCTAACCATATTTAAAACCATTTTCCTGTATACTTTATGTTATAAAATCTCCAAAAATCTCTAAAAAAAAATCTCCAGCAATCACCTAAACTCACTTAAGCAATTCAAAACTATCTAACCTAACCTAAACCACCAGTCTCATATCTCATACACGTTAAAACTTCTATTAATCTAATCATATCGCCAAACCCCCTTCTAATCCTCATAGACAACGCTTCAATTTTCGTATAAATAGTGAATCCATCTTGAGCGAAGTCTACATAAATATAAAACTCATATGACTAAGTAGTGATGTGTAACTACATTATAAAGAATGGTAAAGTTTGCAATCGCTCTCCGAGTCTAGATCGATGTAATAGACATCCAATTTTAAAGTTTAAAACACATATTCAGTGCTCGATTACAGCTGAAAAGGAAATTCAGAATATTCTAAAGAAGCATTTATACTTAGTTGTACATTGTCCATGTGGGGCGTCTGTAAAGAGATATAATTATGCTCACCATTGTTCGTTTCCTAAACAAAGATTGGTCGAAAATGATGCCTGCACCTATGACAATCAAAGCATGGTTTACAGTTATGTTAGTAAATAAGGATGCTATTAATAATGATGATATAAAAAAATAAACATAATTTTTTGTATTTTAATAATATTTAAAGTGAATCATACTACCTCCGTCCCGAAAAAGCTGCATGAAAGTGATTATCCTACTCTGTATTGGCTAAAAACACCGCAAAGCAGCATGTAATTGGTAGAAAT